ATGGCTTCGTCCCGGACAGCGACACAGCTGACGCTGCCGTTACGATCGCTTGCCAGGGGGGCTTTGGCGCGGCCTGGTTCATCTCCCCGCATGCCCTTTGTCCTTCCTGGTAGCTACATCCAAGCCCGTCTTGTTCCCTCACCATGCACGCCTCAGGTTCGACATAGTTCCCACTCGCCGCTGGGGGCGACACCGGTGAACCCGCGAAAAAAGGTGACGATGCAGACTCTACGGAGTCTCTACAGGAAGGGAGAACCGATCACAATGCTCACCGCGCATGACTTTCCCAGCGGCCATGTTGCCGACGCAGCTGGGATGGAGATGATCTTGGTCGGGGACAGTCTGGCCATGGTCGCCCTTGGGATGGAAGACACGAGCGAAGTGTTAATGGACGAGATGTTGCTGCATTGTCGGAGTGTAGCGCGCGCAGCTAAAAGCGCTTTCACGGTTCGTAAATCTCGTCCCCGGGGGGTGGGGGTGTGGTTTGTTGTGTTCGAGGCTTGGCTGACGGACGGGTATTTATAGGTTGCAGATCTCCCCATGGGTTCGTATGAAGTGTCGCCGGAACAGGCCGTGCAATCGGCCATTCGCATGGTGAAGCAAGGTCGCGTACAGGCTGTGAAACTCGAGGGAGGCGAGGAGATGGCGCCGACCATTAAGCGAATTGTGCAGGCTGGGATCCCTGTCGTGGGACACATCGGACTCACACCTCAACGCCAGAATGCTTTGGGAGGCTTCAGAGTGCAAGGAAAGTCGACAGCCGGTGCGTTACGATTGCTCAAAGACGCTTTGGCCGTGCAAGAGGCTGGCGCGTTCATGGTTGTAGTCGAAGCGGTACCGGCTGAGATTGCTGCGATCATCACTAAGAAGCTCTCTGTGCCCACTATTGGTATCGGCGCTGGCAATGGCTGTTCCGGACAGGTCCTGGTGCAGATAGATATGACTGGCAACTATCCTCCCGGACGTTTCCTTCCAAAGTTCGTCAAGAGATACGCCGATGTTTGGGCCGAGACGATTAAAGGAATCGAACAGTACAGAGAAGAAGTCAAGGGTCGCGTATACCCCTCGCAGGAGTACACTTACCCGATAGCCAAGGAGGAACTCGAGGAATTTGAGAAGGCTGCTGACCGGATCAAGCGCTCCTAATTTTCGAGTTCCAAACAGATGTACTCAATGATCGTTCTCTTCAATGTTTGTTCAGTTTCCGGCGCTTCGTTACTTGCCCTTATCACGTCATTTATGGCATTGTGGGCTTGGATGATACCGCGTCTTTTGATGATTATGACCATTAACGGAATCATTTGCGGTGGCGGCTTTATCTTTTGCATCTCGAAAATTTACCCATGAAGTGAACCCACTTGTTTCCCTCATGTCTGCATGTTGTATTGCAATACTTGCATCTGTTTTATTAGCCGAATGCTGGCGTCATAGAGTACGAGACAATCAATTGATCATCCGTCTTGAAACACTACGAAAGTTTTTAGTCTATACGTTCAGTGCAGAAGCGCCTGTAGCAGGAATACTCACTCTCCATAAACCTCCAACACCTTCATCTAGCCCCGGAGCAAAGACGCTGTTGACGTAGCAAAAGACAGAGTCTGTGTCTTTGCAGTCGAGCTTCTTCCTGAGGAATTTGACAACGGTTTCGAATTTCTGCGACGCACTGATCTTGAAAACCCGATTCTTAAGAATAGGCGCGGAAGGAAGAGGCTGAAAGCGAACAGTCACTATTCAGAGTTAGACGAAGACGCAAATTCCAGGTCCAAGTGAGTCTATTGATGATCCCGAAATCTATCCACACGCATATTATTTACCTTTTCCTGTATCAACAGCCTCCGCATCCGCCAACGCTCGATGGGCATCGCGCGGTAGGCTGCTAAGCACCACCGAGGCGGACATGGTCATTGGTAAATCTGCCCCATGCTCATCATCCGGGATAGGGGTGCTTCTGGTATTTGAATCTGAATCTGGTCTTTGGCTAGCAGGTCTATGACTGAGCCTGCTTCCAGCTATTTGTGGGGATTTTGGATTTGGAGAATTTGTCCCCGAAGGGTTTTCTGGTGATGGAGAGTCCATTTTGTGGTATGCGCTGGGGATATGCACTGGGAATGATGAGGCTATCACTTGAAGTCCGTAGATGATTGTGAGATGATGAAGGGTTTACAGGAGGTTGTTGTTCGGTGGATCTACGAGCTAATTTGTACCTTAGCTCTAGGTAGTTCGTCTACAGCGCTAGTTGGGTTCGGTCCGATCAACATGGCTCAGGTACTCTACCAACAGTGTAGCGTGAATGCCATGAGAAACAATATGGATTAAGACTAAGAGTTAACATCTCCATTCCTTCGACTTGATTTCTGATGTGCAGTGGAGTAGTAGTGTACAACAATGACGGTTAGATGCCACCCTATTCTGGGTAGATCACAAGCACCACCTACTGACGTAGTGACACTCCTTATCTGAAATTCGTAGTCGATACTCCACTGAAAGGCCAGTTGATGACGCTAGCCCATCTATAAATCTATCACTCTGGCAAACCAAATAGCCATCAATTCAGTCCTGAAAAGAAGTAAATTATATCAGCTGAAGAATCCAAAGCACAATAATATTTACCCACAGACAGAATAGGGAGAGAAAGGAAGAGATCTGGTAAAGCACAGAAAACGAGTGACTCCTCGCTGAGTCATCCCGGGCCACATGACTGCCCAACCAAATGGTGCCATCACTCGATAATCATTTCTTGAGTTCGCCTGACGGCTATAAGTTACTAGTACTAGTCTTCTCTGTAGTGACGGGTTCCCCATTTCTCCGTGCCATCTTGTTAACTATATCTCCTTGACCAACACCTCCTGCTTCCGTTGTACTGCCTTCAGATTCTAGTACTACTGTCTTTTCTCAAGGATCTTCATCCTCCCGGTTTTCGTGTTACTTTGCATCTAGTCTTTCTTTGATCGCGCGCCGTTGCTCATTATCTTGCCCCCGCTCATTGCTTCCCCGCTCCGGTCTTGGAGAACCCTTCGGGCACGACTCTCTCAAAGTACTCAATCACCTTCAAGCGATTTACCCCCTTTTCACAATCCATCTTTGGATAGCATAAGATATAAGGCTATATCAGTCTACAAGTTTTCAAAATGAGCAGCCCAAAGCGAAGAATCGAGACCGATGTGAGTTCAATCAAAGGTTTTTTTGAAGGACATGGTTCACAAATGAGCAAACGCTGACAAGTCGCCTTTTTCTCTCTGTATAGGTCATGAAGTATGCTAGGATTCTTCTTGAAGACAACCCAGCGGACAAAAGCTAACCGAATGGCAGGATGTATGCCACACCCCTCTTGAGCGTCCATTGACCCTGCCTTCCGGAAGTCACATATACTTGCAGATTCGAGCGAACGATTTTCGAACTTTCTGTCGGCTCTTGGACCTTGCTGATATGTTTCCAGGTTGATGAGTGATTACGAGGTGACTTTGGTCAATGACAACAGTGGGTATATGGGCTTATTTCTCTGGCTTTCACTACTAACTTATGGATAGTGTATGCTGCGATTCCTAGACTTCCATTACCAACCAACCATCGATGCAGATTATTGACTTGATTATTCTCGGACAGGCAAGAATTTTACGTGCGCTTCAAGGGCCCAGAAGAGAGTGCGTCTTGCCACTTCCCTCAAAACTCCGCACTACTGACCAATAATAGCACCGTTCGCTGGCGGTCACTGGAAGATTCACGTCGAGTTGCCCGATCAATATCCCTACAAGAGTCCGAGCATCGGTTTCGTGAACCGGATCTTCCACCCGAATATCGATGAATTGTGAGGCATCCCAGCTACCACTCAAAGTCCGTCGTTAACCTCTCATTTTACGCAGATCTGGCTCAGTGTGTCTTGATGTCATCAACCAAACTTGGTCACCGATGTACGATATGATCAACATTTTCGAGGTTTTCCTCCCTCAGCTCCTGCGGTACCCGAACCCTTCAGACCCGCTCAACGGCGAGGCTGCTGCGATGTTAATGAGGGAACCCAAGAGCTACGAGGCCAAAGTAAAAGGTGTGTGTTACAGTGATCGGCTCAGGACAGCACTTGCTGATTGGATTGATAGAATACGTGGCCAAGTATGCTAGCAAAGAGGCAGTTGATGAAGCCGGAGAGGATACAGAGTCCGAAGATGAACTAAGCTCGGCTGGAAGTTACGAATCTGGCGGTGAGGAACCGGCTGGTACGATGGATGACGTGTAGATCAATCGTCGGAATCTTGGTCGGTTGCTCGAACCCGGTGTGCATTCTGTTGCATTATGCCATCTATTTTCCTATCTTCACCTGTTATTCTATCGGAACAAGGCTGGCGGGCGTTACTGGCGGAGTTACTACTGTTTTTCAAGACGCAACTGACATTTGCATCCCCTGAGCCAAGGTCCAGGTCACGATTTGCTAATTAGCAATCGACTGGAGTTGGCGACCCCTGTCTGCTCTCCAACGTTGTGTGCATCTGGATTACTCTCTTCCTCTGTACTCATGGTTCCTTACAGCATCTAGTAGTATATGCATGTTGATAAGCCAAGATGATTTATACAGTCTCCGCCTCTGCGAGAACTGCAGTAGGGTCAATTTTCTCTGAAGATGGAGACATTACTCGAGACTAGGGATCTGCTCATTGTGTTGACATGCCCATTAGCTATGTCACTATCTAATAACACTGTACTGCCTCTTGATATGAGAAGTGTCAAAAAAAGGAATCTACCCAAACATGATGATTATGCAACACAAAGGAAATGTATACCTGGCAAGTGCAATAATAGTAAGAGAGGATCGAAAGACGCAAGAGGGTATTAATCATCGTCAAGCGACGGGAACTGAAAGAAAAGAAGGATTGGCCTAAAACACGCGACAAAGAAGCGGAAGAGTCGAAGTCCGCGAAGCGAAGAAAGTAGAAAACAACCGTCGGCCGGCGACCCAGTAGAACAAAGAAAAGGAATGCAGCGTAGCAACTCCCCGTCATCCGCAAGTTTCACGTCACCTTCAGAACGCCAAAGACATCTCGACCGTTCGTCTCATCAGTGTTCAGACCTGGCCGGGCCTTCTTTCCTTTCCTCGGGTTGATGACCACCTCTCCCCAGTGCTTGCAGGCGGTGTCGTCATTTGCGGCGCCAGACTTGGATGATGTCGGTGACTTCGACGGGTCGGCCGTGATTATTCTGACGGGGACGTCGCTGCTCGAACTTGCTTTTGACGCCACGGAGCCGTGTAGTGTGGCGCGTGGTTGGAGATGGGGTTGCGGTTGGAGGGACCAGATGTCGATGACGGACCTATGTGCCTGGATTAGCTTCTCGTTCGGGAGTCGGTGGTATAGTGCCAGCTTGAAACGAGGGAGCAGCAGGTAACTACTCACTCTGAGGTTCGCTGGCAGATTGCTTCGAGGGCTTCTCGTTCGCGCTTTATGTTCTCTGGGTCGGGGTTGTTGATCTGATTCGCATGATTGAGAGCTCCATAGCCGTAGCCGGACTGGTAGATATCGTCGTCCAGCAGACGCGAGGACTCGGCCTAAAGATCCGGACTGTTAGTATGCCTGTTTGAGGGTTGGGAATCGAAAATGGCTATGACCAGCCGCATCATGCGATTGCGGCGGCATGGTCCTTTTCTCTGTTTGGTGCTGAATCACAAATACATACATCATGGCTTTCTCGGCGATTTAGCCCAAGGCAAGAAGCACAGACGCCCATTGATCCCGATGTATTATGGCGCGGTGATCGAGTCTCGAGGAGGAAAGATCGAGTGGTAATGAATATCCGAATGACGGGAAAGATAATGCAAGGAATGCAAGAATAACAAAGTACAAATATCAGCCGCGGCAGGAAACCGACGGGTGATGCTGGGAAGGTTAGATATAGAGAACTGTCCGGAGTCGCACGACCACCCACCATTGACTGGATTCGTGAAGGAATCCGGTGTTTTCGACTGGTCCGTGCGCCTCCATGACATTGAACCCCAGATCGGGCTCATTCTTCATCTGCTTGCATTCCTTGATATTTGGAATACCGTCACATTCCTTCATCAGACTAAAGACCTGGTGAGAAAACTGATCTATTGATAAAAATCATCCCTATGATTCGGCTATCTATCCATGCTTCGGATCAATATTCATGCTTTTCTGGCCCCATCAAGCATCACTAGCGGAGCTCTGAGATGCCATGATTTTCTACTACCTGAGTTAACCACACAGTGATAGCAAGCTTGTTTTTCGTTATCCGCCAATTGTTCTCTCAGTCTAGTGTCTTAAGTCTCCGCAAGGCCCTCCCTGTTGCCTTATTTCCTCGGGAATCTTGCTGCCCCGTCGCACTGGCCATGAAAATGGGCATTTTTCGACAACAAGGCAGACGATCACTCCTTTTTGTGAACTAATTTAAGAAATGGGGCCACTCATTCATATTCCCACAGCGAAATGATCTAGACTCTGTACGGGAAGGCGCTACAACCCTGTGCCCTCTATTGTTGTGTCTCCTCTTGCTTGTGGCGGACCCCGCATCATAATGCCCCTCCATCAACCGCACATATGCTCCGTAGCTGCTGATATCATCAACAGCTCTGACTCTTTCACATATAATTATCTAGTCTCCTCCAAGCCTGTTCATATATAGTCACCACACCACCCATCTAATATATCAACCATGCCCGGACGGCTCGAAGGAAAGGTTGCCGTTGTGACAGGCGCCGGATCAGGGTTTGGCTACGGCATCGCAAAGAAGTTCGTCGAAGAAGGCGCCAATGTCATCATCGCAGAGCTGTCGCAGCAAAGCGGAGAGAAAGCCGCAGCCGAGTTGAACTGCAAGTTTGTTCTCGCTGACGTGACGAGGCGGGAGTCCTGGCAGGCATTGCTGCAAGCAACACTGGATGCATATGGGAAACTCGACATTGTCGTCAATAATGCTGGTGCGACCTATAGCAATAAGCCCACCGCCGAAGTCACCGATGCAGATTTTGACCTGTGCATGAATGTGAATATCAAATCGATCTATCTATCCACGAGCGTCATAGTGCCGTACTTCCTTGAGAACAACCGGCCCGGGTCGTTTATCCAGATCTCATCGACGGCTGCACTGCGTCCTCGTCCAGGCTTGACGTGGTATAATGCTTCAAAGGCAGCCGTAAGCAATGCGACCAAGACGATGGCTGTCGAGTATGGGCCCAAGCAGATTCGTTTTAATTGCGTCTGTCCTGTCGTTGGTAGTACAGGGATGTAAGTATAAAGCTGCGCACCGCTGATGCAAAGACTTGGAAAGCGGCTCACCTTGCTACGTCTTTAGGACACATTTATTCCTTGGCAAGCCAGATACTGAAGAAAACCGCGCTGCTTTTGTGTCAACTGTGCCGCTGGGTCGGCCCAGTACTCCTCGGGATGTTGCGAATACTTGTTGCTTCCTAGCGAGCGATGAAGCGGAATTTATCACGGGGGTGAACTTGGAGGTAGGCACCGACATCATTTGTTCCAAATCAGCACTGTCGGCACTAACTAATGACTACTGGGATTCAGGTGGACGGCGGTCGTTGTGTTTAGTCTATCTATATAGCAAATTTCATAGCGGACCTACGTGGAAAAGGAAGAATAGATTGTTCCGACAAAGCAGCTTGCGATCCAGTGCATTACTCTCAACAGAATATCAGAAATCTAGCGCTTACCAATCGTAATCCCTCTCAAGCTAATTCAGTCAAGCCAGATCGCAAACCCTGACGTTAATTTCCATTTCATCACTGACGAGGTCTCAACGAGCTGATGCCTGGGATAGAGCCCTATACCGGACTCTGCGGTCCATTGCTCTCACGGTGTCGTGGAATTTTCATCTTTTACAGCCTGTGTATTCATATTGCATGGCACATATAGGCTTTCTGGTCGAGGACCAACCTCAGCGAAATTTTACCCAGGACATTTTTGGTCAGAGAAGGAGAAGTGAAGGTAGCATGGAGACCAGCCACGGCATATATATATGTATCAGTATCTGGACCATCGGTGCATTCCAGATAGAAGCTACCTCTCTTCACCGAAATAGGCAAGTACCCTCATTCCTGCTCAGATTCTATCAAGGAATGAATGAGATTAAGAATATCAACCATAGCTTAGCTGGGTAATTCCCTCCAACGGCCATTCAGTTTGATGAACGGCCACATGTTGCTGTACTCCTTTGAACAAAGTACATGTTGTCCCGCGTTAGCAGAATGAGATGAAGTAATTGACTCAAGTTTTAGGCTAAGGAAGTCTCAATGCTTTATGAGAGCAGTCAACCTCTCCATAAACAATGCGAAGTCATCGTACGGCTCCCAGGAGCGAAGGAAGTCGACATCGGTTGGGTCTGATGCACTTGCAGATCCCCGGGAACGTGGCCGTAGCCACACCGGTGGGTGGAAATAGACCATTCCACAATTTTCGGAATCAGCATTTCGCTCCGCACGACAGAGCATTCTTGATCAACACAATCGCCGGGCAAGCGAAAGGGGCCCTGACACAGTTTTTCAATGGCCTAGATCTTCATATAGATTCTCGCAAAATTCTAACAATATGTTCGACCTCCCAGACGCAAAACGGTACTGTGATTTCCAAATCCAGCTGTCCGTACTTTGACTGATTTTGAGCCTGCTCTACAGCGTTCGTCGCGATGAACTCCTCTCGCGAGATTCGGTTTCACGGTCACCCTCACCGCAGCCGGACTCATCGCTTCAAGACGGCCATCAGCGTTTGGGCGCGCTCCTCAACCTTGATGTATTGATAGCCCCCGCAGAATCCACCGCTCCAGCACCCAGATCGCAGGAAGATGGCCAGCAACAAGAAGATGAGGAGCAGGAATTCGAGTTCCGTTTATTTAGTGCCCCTGCTGCGTCAAAATCTACAACTAAGGACGAGAAGACGCCGGTGACGGAAGGCGGAGAGAAAGCAGTAAGCGGAGGTACTCAAAAATTGAGGATTCGGTTACGCTCGCCGACACCTGGAGCGGTGGATGGGGAGGGACGATTTCTTAATCCCTTCCGAGGGTGGCAGTATTACTTTACAACGCCGGAGCTGCTTACTGGGTCCGGTGCGAAGCAGGATTCAGCTTCGACTTCGACCATCAGGAGGAAGCAATTCGAGGAAGTCGCTGTGTCCGGTCAGCAGATGCTGGGGTGGTCGGAGGTGTCCTGGGTACGTGTTGGACTTTCTATCGACTCACTTGGGTTTGATATGGTTTGCTGATTTTATGTTTCGCGCAGCCCGGTTGCCATCTACCATGGCGAGTGATACATCTCAAGCGGCAGCATACCAAGTTACCTCCTGCATCTGCAGATCCAACTGCAGTCGCGACTATTTGCGTTACGAACCCTCCGTCAAAAGACCCCAAGTCTCGAAAGAAGCCCGGCAAGAAGCGACGTATCCAGTTGCGGAAGCGAATAAAGGCCGCAGATGAGGAGAAGCAGAGGGAGGCCGAGAAGCGAAATCGCAAGAATCGGGAGAGGAAAATCAAACGGAGACAGAAAGCACGAGAATTGAAAGCTGCAGCTGCAGCTGCATCGGGACAAAGTCAAGATGTCGCGGAAGTGGAGATGCAAGATGCTTCTGATGCGAGCAATGAAAATACTGTTAACGGACTGCCGTGCATTTGCGATACCCTGTGATTAACCTGCAATCCACCGAACTGCGATGGTCTACCATGACTACAATAGTGAGAGCACTAAGATGGTACTTGTCATCAAGCGAGCTACATTGCTCTAATTATCTGACCGAGGGAGAGTATAGACAAAACGAGGGGTATATTATGCAACGCAAACACGGCAACGACAACGACGACGACAATAAAAGAAGATCAACTCAACAAAAGAAACATTGGGCTATTATGTGGCGACTGCCCGCTACTGCGAAAACGTGAAAGCGCAGAGTAAATATCGAATTCAGAGGGGTTACGAGATTTCGTTCAAAAATGATATATGGCGAAAGGCAAACGATTATTTGGCTTCCTCGGCTATTTTTGGTCAGCATAATCGACCTCGATCTTCCGAGATCCAGTTACCTACTCTTGGGCGGCTCCGCAGTCTCAGCGGGCTTTTCAGCAGCTGGTTGAGCAGGCGCTGGCTCAGCATCCGGGGCTGGGGCAGCAGGGGCAGTTTCCGCTGGAGCAGCCGCGGAAGTAGTTGTCTCCGGAACAGTGGGAGCAGCAGCAGTAGCGGCTGTCGTGGGCTCGGGAGCAGGAGCCTCTGTCTTCGTCTCGGGGGCTGGGGTAGTGGAGGGCCCGGGCTGCGTCTCGGTGGGTTGTGTTGCCGCCTCGGTTGACTTATCTGCTACGGCTGCTTGCTCTGCAGAGTATTAATTCGTGAGACATTGGGCGACTTGACTGGATGAAGCAACATATAAGGGAACAACGTACCAGGCTTAGGATCGGTAACAGGAGCTGGCTCTGCTGGCTTGGTTTCCGTGGCAGGTACAGCGGCCGCAGCAGCAGCGCCAGCGGCGGGGGCGGTTGCTGGCTGTTCTGCAGGCGTATCCGCAGCCGGGGCAGGCTCAGTTTGATTGTTCTGAGCCTTCTTCTTTCTGCGGGAGAAAATGGTCTTCAAGCCCTTCTTCAATTGCTGAAGAGCATCAGGAGCTGATCATCAGTCAGACAGCGGCTTAGGAGAGAGCTAGCGGAGCTTCATTCACATACGGACACCGGGCATCTTGTAGCTAGAGAAGAGATTGTAGTAAGAGGCGATTAGAGTAGCGAAA